TGTATTACACTGTGTGATTCATCAAAATAAAATCTTATCCAAAATGGAGTTATACTTTACAACCACAGTGCGCAAGTTTTATACTTTTATCAGCAGAGTAATTTAAGCACATTCTCTGCATGTGATTATTTAGGTCTTCTAACCCTAATCTCTCCTGAACCTCACTCTAACGTGAAAATATCCCTAAACTATCTGCAATCTAACTCGAACCAACCATAATGTCGCCTTTATTAGGTTAACCTAACCCTAACTTCTCCTTGGCTTAAAGCCTAATTTAATCTTTCCTAAAACTAAGCTGAAACTTGTTACAAATCCCATTTAATAGCATAACACTTCGATGGACATATTTTATTGATAATGATAACACTACTTACCAGGTTTCACTGACTCACTCAGTGGGCGTTTCAAGGTCACTGGTGCAGCAATTGCACTCCATTGGTAGTTAGTTAGTTAGTGATGCTTAAAGTTTAACTTGGCCTATGATTCTTTTATGATCGCAGTGGAACAATAGGAGGCTACAAGCTACAAGGCTTGCAGTTTCGATAGCAATTTTCTTACCTTTCACGGGATGGAGTTGCTAGTCAGCCTTATGCCCTAACCTCTCTCTCCTTACACGTCTTATTAACCGACTTAGCGAGGTAGTATGAGGAGTGCGTCGGTGCCCCGGGGATCGAACCACTGACCACATCGGGTGTGGTTGTCTGTCTGTCTGGATTCGACATAGAACTTGCCATCGAAGTGCACCAGTTCGATTTGCCACGTTCCAAATAGCACACAAAGGTAGACAAGAAGATGATGAGTGAAGAGAATCAATAGAGTTTGACAAGTATAAGAGTGAAAAAGAATGGGTAATGGTAGAAATGAAATGAATATGAAACATTACAGAGACTGAATACATCTACGCTGGCCATTGACAACGATTTTGAGCCATGTCACCTATTGTCTCCAGCCATTGATTCCTAGAGTCAGTCCCGAGGACCCCAACCCGGAAGTCTGCATCTCCCTACCTGACTCAGTTTAACTGTCAAGGATTTCATGGATTCATGCCATGCCATGTTTTTGTTTGGCCACCAGTGGCTCTTTTCCAACCTGCACCTATATCAGCTAGCAATGCCCGTCGGGGGAGGCGGTGGTTAGGCATGCTCAGCACCTGACCTAGCCATCTCAATCTATGTAACTTTATAGCCTCGTCGATTGATTTTCCCTCTTTGCCCAACACTCTGCGTCTAACGTCAACATTACTTACCTTATTATACCACCCAACGTGAGACAGAGATCGCAGACATCTATGATTGAAAGCAGTCAACCTTTTTATGTCTTCAACGCGTATTGGCCATGTTTCAGAGCCATAGAGAAGGACTGAGTGTGGTTGACGACCATTCTATCGCTAAGCCACACACACACACACACACACACACGGAATATACCTATATATCGTCAACTAATTGATCTATCACATAGAAAACAAACGCTGAGATAACATCTCTCCTAAAAGCAAGTTGTTATAACAATAATACTACTACTAATAATAATAATGACATGAGATGTAACATAATTCATACATCATAAAGAGTTAGTTAATTAACATTTAAAAGAAAAAAGAGGAAGAGACAGTTGAAATTTGTTGTTGTAAAGGATTAGAGAAGAATTAAGAAGAAATGAAATGAAAAAAGAAACATTAAGGGGTCAACACAGAAGGCAACACCACCACCACCACCAACAGCATTAAGACGTCAAGTGAAGAGGATTATATGAATGACTGAATGGGAGGAATGAATTAACAAATACTGAACACGCTGTTGATACATAGTCAAACAAACAAAGCAATTAAAACAGTTTCGTTATATTTTTGAAGAAGATTTTGAAAAGAAAATGTTTAAAAATAAAAAGAATCAATAACGAGTTGATTCACGATAAAAAAAAGGATGAACAGTATGGTTAAAATAAAGGAGTATGAACAGCGAATCATTTGAACTTTAGATAACTGCGTTGGTACTACTCATATTATTAATGAAGAAACATATATATATATATATATATATATATATATATATATATATATATATATATATATATATATATACTTCAGAAAAACACACATGAAGGTAGAGAAAAAGAAAATTTACGCCTGAGAAGAAACAATACGTGTATGAAGAATATAATGAGCATTTAATAGACCTGAAGAATCATACAAAGAGGTAAATACAACTGAACAATTGGAAAATGGGATTTGGAGGCATACGACTAAAACACTCTGTAAAGATTGATTCTTAGGGTCTCGATAACCTACATTTAGACAGTCTACAACAATCCAGCCATTAATGGATGGATGAAAGTAACAGTCAAAGACTTCATGAAACTGATGTCAAATTTTAACTTGACTATACTTTGATTAGAAACTAGTGAGTAACTACCATTAGGATGCACTCTGAATTATTGTTAATATTAGACGGTTGGCAGCAATTAGTGGGAAGCCTTACACCTAACTTTCGTGCTAGTTGGTATTTAGCAGTCAGTCAGTCAGTCAGTAAGGCGTATCTGTAATCTTGAAGAAACTCATGTCTTTTCTGAGGTTCGAACTTGTGTCACTCAGTGTGCTGCAGTCAGAGACAATGTTACCACTTAGCTATTCAGGCTCTTTTTAAACCTAATCTTAAGTTAGGACTCTTGAACCGACCACCACCACCACCACCTGCAACTCGTCCACAAATACCAACAACAGCGCGTACACAACTGCAAGTTGACACCGACCCCTCCGACGAAAGCTGAAGTCTTAAATGCAATCAAGCTTCTGAAAGCTGGAAAAGCATCTGAACCAGATTGAATACCCCTGAAGCACTGAAAGTGGACCCAGAGACGACAGCGGACATGCTGACTCTATTATTGCAAAAGGTCTGGAAGGAGGGAAAGGTGTCTACTGACTGGAGGAAAAGTTACCTCGTGAAAATACCAAAGAAGAACGACTTACGCCTCACTCTGCAAGAACTGGCGAGGAATCATGCTCCTGTCGACGCCAAGTAAAACCCTGTGTCGCATCATCCTGGTGAGAATTAAGGACGCACTGGATACAGAAATCCGCCAGCCTGAACAAGCTGGATTTAGGAAAGTCAGACAAATCATGTTCTGACCAAATTGCAACTCTAGGCATCCTCCTCATCATCATCATAAAACAAAGCATGGAATGGAAATCAAACCTCTACCTCAACTTCTCTATAGACTTTGAGAAGGCCTTCCACAGACAGCGTTGACCGCGAAGTAATTTGGAAACTACTCGAGTACTACGGCGTTCAGTGCCCCAAATATTCATCAACCTTATTCAACACGCTGTACGACAACGGAACATGTCAAGTGATCCGCAACGGAAAACTCAGCGAGGCGTTTGGAGTAAACACAGGAGTCAAACAAGGGTGCTTATTATCACCCACAATGAGATTCCTAATTGTGGTGGACTGGATTATGCGTCAGACAGTGAGTGGGAAACAAGAAGACAGGGATATCCTGGACCGACGTGAAGAACCTAAGAGACCTGTTATTCGCGCGTGGATGATTTATGTTTGATGTCACACAAAATCGAAGACTTATAAGCGAAACCGACAAGCTGATCGAGGAAGCAGCCGGCGAAGATAGGACTCCAGGTGAACGTAGACAAGATAGAGGTTATGAAAATAACCAACCAACAACAACAACAGCACTAACGTCCAGCGCTAATCACCATCAACGGGAGGGAGTGATTTGAGAGAGGTTACTTCATTCACTCACTTATCTAGGGAGCATTGTTTCAACTACAGGAGGAGGAACGAACGAGGATGTCAAATCAAGGGAGAATCGGGAAGGCGAGAAACACATTCATCAACCTGGAGCCAATCTGGAGATCTTCTTCACTCACCATCAACAACAAATTTCGTCGGATTTTCAATACAAACGTCAATTCAGTTCTTCTATACGGATCAGAAACGTGGCGGGTCACAAAGAATATTTCCAACAGGCTGTTGCAGACCTTCATCAACAACTGTCTTCGCTCTATACTGAAGATCAGTTCGGGACTCTTCATCAGTGCGCACCAACCACAGTGGTTCGAACCCAGGATATTCTGGTTACAAGGCTAGCGAGCTCGTGGACCATTCATCAGTCACTGGGACCCGACGCAATAACCAGTCCATGAATTCTAACTTCTACCAATTTATAACATAGCGCGACCACTTCGCAATGTCTTTTCCGATGCTTCATCTTTAAGCTGTTGTACTCAACTGCTCACCACTTGCCTCTAGAACCCTGGGTAACTGCCTGAATAGGGCTAGTCACTAGTGTGCACTAGATCACTTTTCAAGTATTGGTTTTGTAGGGATTTTGTTTGATCAGTTGGAGGATTTCATCATGAGCTGACACATCAGTTAGAGAACTATTGAGAAGTGGCTGCGCTATGTCATGAATTGGGAGAAGTTAGAATTCACGGACTGGCCACTGGATCGAATCCCAGTGGCTGAATGCTCTACGAGCTCGCTAGCTTTATAACCAAAAAGTCCTGAGTTCGACCCCCCTGTGTCGGGTGCGCACTGGTGAAGAGTCCCGAGCTAGGACGAACGAGATGTCCAGTACTCCTGTCTGGTTTTCCAATGGTTCTCTAACTAATGTCAGCTAATGATGCAATCCTTCAGTGAATCGAACAAAATCCCTACAAAAACCAAAACTTGAAAGTATGGGTTTTTTATTTATAAGGATATGGATCTCTTTTCATGTAGATTTCGTGTTAATATATCTAACACGTCTTCCCAATATACATTAGCTGTATAAGAAGCGAAGTAAGCAATGTTGATTGACAGAAAGACCCATTAGTAGACGATTGTACACGAACACACAAACAAACGCAAACAAGCCCACAGTCACTCACACGCACACACACACACACACACACACACACACAAAGACGCTAAAAGGACGTAATCAATGGAGCAAGGAAGCAAGCAAATAAGAAAGTAAGAGAACAACCAACTTCAACTTACCGTTTCCCATCATATGTAGCTGTGATACCAGCTACCCGACTAGAATGACAACCAATCGACATTAAACTGACACTTGTTATCACAGTAATTGCAATCATAATGCATAATCCAAATAATGTACGATGTAAGCTTGGACGAAAATGTCGCATTAATAAAGCACCGGATAAAACGCCTAACAGAGAACTTGGAACTATTACAGCACCTAAATAGGATAGAAGAGAATAAACAAAATGAAAATTCGATAAAGAAGTCATGAAGAAGTAATGAATAAAGAAAATAATAACAGTTATTCTGATAAGCATTCAAGTAAGATTATGAATTATTGATTGACATAGTGATAAAAGGAATAAAGAAACGTATGAAATATCAAACGTCTATCTAAACAACTTTATCGATTTCGAAAAGGCTCTTACCAGACAGTGTTGACCGAGAACTAAGTTAGAAAATATCAATATATGTGTGTAAAACTTGGGCACTACTGTGGTAGTAAGTAATTCCATATCAGTTTGTTTATTAGATATATCACACAGTGAAACAGTATTGTTTACTGGATGACGAAGTTTCGAACACAATTTATTGCTGTTCATAATCATTTCATCAATTGTAATCACACGACTTTGGAACTTGAGTTTTATAGTTTTCTCCTATTTGTCGTCGTTGGGGTAGTAGAATTTTCCAGATGTCTCCGTGGGCAGGTGTTGAATCATTCCTAGTCCACATATTCCCTCTCACTTGATTCGACAAACAAACCTCCCGCTGTTATCAATCTCTCCCTCCACCCTGTGACATTAGATTTTAAAACTGTCATCTTATCCCATCCTATTGTGTGGTTGTGTGTAATTGCATGTAGTGAGTGCTATGGCTGAACTATTCTCTAGATTTATTATCTTATTCGGGTCAGCCAATCTAGATTTTGCTGGATTTTTATTCTCCACTAGTCTGATTGACCCCGTTCTACTACTTTGGCCTATGCGTTATTTGACCTGACAAGCATTCCAGACAGGGTATTAGATAAACTAAATTGTTCTGTTAAATTGACTCCACTGTCAGGATCCTTCAACCGACAAAGCTTGTTTCTAATTGAGTTTATGGTTGATATGAATGCCAATCATTTTTATTCCTACCCGGCTTGTTAAGAATTCTGCGTAAATTGGTTTCCGAGGTTCCTTCTTTGTATGGGATTACTACTGATGATTTAGATTCCTTAATGTTGGTGTCGTCATTATTATTATTATTATCATTAATCATTACTATCATTAATTATTTTATTTTTACATTTACTTACATATTTCCTGACTAATTTATCCGGGTAATTAATAAATTTCAAGGCTTCTTTTATATGTATCTCTTCCTGTCTTAGATTTTCCTTGGTACTACTTAGTTTTTGTGCTCTGTCATTTAAACATTTCACTAATCCTATTTTTACTGACATAGGACATGGGTGGGATCATTGGAAGTCCAAATATTAGAAACTATTTTAACACTATGAAGTGCAGTAAACCAAATCTTTATGTGAACCTCATTCAACAATTGCCTACTCTATATGACAATGCCACGTATCAGCTGATCTACAACGGAAAACTCAGTGAGGAGTTTGAAGTGAAGACGACAGGATTAAGACAAGGCTGACTGCCTATTATCACCCACTATGATATTCTTAATTGTGGTGGATTATGCGTTAGACAGTGAGTAATGAGAAGACAGGAATATGTCGGACCAATTATAAAAGACTCTAGAAGATCTGGATTTCGTGTGTGGATGATTTATGTCATGTCCAGTGTCACACACAAACTTGAGGACTCACAAACGAAAACCAACAGAGGCAAGAAACAAAGATGGGACTCCGGATGAACATAGAGAAGATGGTGACGGAGGTGATGAAGATAATAAACTTACCACCACCACCACCAACAACAACAACAATAACAACCAGCACCAATCGCAATCAACAGGGGAAATTTGAGAGAAGTTACTTCCTTCATTTATCTAGGAAGCGTCATTTCAACCAAAAGACCGAGCTGTTGAAGATGTCCAATCCAGTCAGAATCAAAAAGGCAACATACGCCTTTATCAACTTGAATTCAGTTTGGAAATCTTCTGCACTTCGCGACAATAATAAGAAAAAAAGATTAGGATTCTATTCAACACAAATATTAAGTTAGTCAGGTCTTGTATATGGGTCGGAAACTTGTAGAGTAGACTTTTACCAACAGCTATCTTCGCTCAATACTCAAGATCAGATGGCCACAAAGAATTAGCAAGAAGAAATCCTGACTGGGCACAAATCAACAAGCGAGAGCCGATTGCTCAACAAATATGTAGAAGAAAATGGAGATAGATCGGGCATACAATAAGGAGGCCGTCGAATGACATCACACGCAGTGTAGGTCACTGGTCGAATGGAATGCCAATGGGAATCGTCCAAAGGAGGAGATGAGAGATTATGAACAATCGTGGACCCAGCTGAAGAGGACAGTAGAGAACAGAACAAATTCGAGATGTGTTTTTGTATCCCTATGTTCCATTCAGAATCTAAGGGAAGAATAATAACAAAGTAGCCTAAGTGCAACAACAAGTTATTCTTGAACACACGCACACACACACACTGTTTCGTTTGCGTTGCAAGTGGAACTTAGGCCTTCATGCTTGAGGTTTGAAGTTTCAGTAGCATTGGTGTTAGTCTCACAGTGAACTTTCTCTTTTTATCGATCTAACACCTATCGGCCAAGTGAGTTTAAGGAAAGGGTCGAATGGAGATCGACTCTTCAGACGTAGTTAGTGAGTATTCTCCCGCTGAACTACCGACAAATGATTATCGCCACAGTGAGATAATAAGTACGTATAGCGGGACACCATGAGTATTTGCAAAGTGCTAATCACCTAATTGATCACAAAAATCATTACTGTCTAGTGAAAATGTACTCTAAAATGTCACTCAAAGATCTTCATTTTGTATACAGAAAATAAATATAGGTATACACTGTTAGCCGACTGACGGATCGATTGGTTTCGACATAGAACTTTGCACAGCTATGCAGCGTTCAACTTGCCATACTCCTCCATGTAGAACACAAAGCAAGAGAAGAGAGTAAGGGGAGATTCAAAAGAGAGAGAGAGAGATAATAAACAGAAGTGTCAGTGAGGCGAAAAGAATAATAATATAAAAGAACGACAGGGTTTTATTGGATATGATAAATCACAAAGGGTGAGTGAATGCATCTGTACCAGCCATTGGCAACGAGGATTTTGAGCCATATCGCCGATAATTGTCTCCAGTCTTCATTGGTATTAGTTCTTACTATCCCCAGCGGTACGCGTTCACCGGGTTTCGAACCCAGGACCCTCTGGTTACAAGGCAAGCCAGCTCGTAGACCATTAAGCTACTGGATCGCTTCTTACCATCCCGACGACCCCAACCAACCACCAAGTGTCTACACCACCCTACATGGCTTACTGGTTGGTTCAAACTGACTGAAGCCATGTTTTGGTTTGATCACCACTAGCTCTTTCCCAACAACTTTATTCTATGTCAGCTAAAACATTGTCTGTCATCGATGAAGGTGATGGCTGACTAGGGGGATGCATGAGTTATACAACCTTATCGACTGACTAACTTATCTTACCTAAGCTTAATATTACTCACTCTATTATACCACGTAACATGCGAGAAAGAACACAGACACTGATGATCAAAGACAACTAGCTTGCCGTTTAACATCTTACACTTTCGATCGCCAACATGTTTCACAGTTCTAAAGAAAGAAAGAGCGAATTTTTTTTTGCAGCACAAAGGTCGTTTGATCAATAGCTCGCCGGATATAGCAACCACGTCAAAAATGGTGTAGGTTTGCAGACATCACGTGAGGTGGCGCCACCTTCCCGAATAAGTGAAATGGTCAACATGCTCGACAACTCCATTACCTATCTTTAGGCTATATACCATTAACCCGTTTTCTGGGTAAGTTTATTTGACACTTAAAGAGTCTTTCTTCCGAGCAGAATTCAATTTCTTTAATTACATAGTGACCAAAAGAGTAAAAAAGGCATATGAGATGCAATTCTTTAAGGGGGCTGATAGTGTCCTCCGAGCTGCGTGGTGGTTCTGTTGTGAAGTTTTCATTGTCCTCCTTCTAGACATGAGATCTGCACGACTTTTTTTTTAATATGAAGGAAGTATTCCTTTTTCTCTTTATAATTCTCTATAAAAATGTTGTAACTACCTTTCCTGATGATCTTGATCATGAATGGATGTTTTCAGAAGTTCATTTTAATTCTTGTGTTGTCTTTTGTAACTGTATCGATTATTTCATTGACCTGATAAATGACCTATTTTGTCATGTGATCTATTTTTTTATCAGTTGATGAACTTGTTTGATGTCAATATTTCTGTTGAGTATATAGACTGATCAAACTAACAGACTTTTAGATCAAATACCAGATCAATATCATGATCGATATTGATATAGATGAATGAGAGGGAAATGAAAAGCCTTTGAAGAACACTAAAAATAACAGACGAAGTAAGCATGAGTGGAAGAGTGATAATCATTCATGGATGATTCCACAAAATGATGGTAACACCAACACACCATGGAATTTAAATTATCAGTAGAACTTTCATACAAAAAAAGGAATCTCAGAAAACTTAACAAGGCGGGAATAAAATTGGTTGGCGTTTAAACCTACAAAGTCAATTAGAAACAAGCTTTGTCAGTTAAAAGATCAATCCTGTGGAGTCTTTTGAACAAAACAATTTAGTTTATCTAATAACCTGCCTACACATGATTGTCAGGTCAAATACATAGGTCAAAGTTGTAGAAGAGGAACACAAATAGTCAGACTAGTGGAGAACAAAAACCTATCAACTAAATCTACATTAGATTCCCTTGATAAATTTCGATAAAGAAAGGAAGACGAAATTTGCAGTATAAAATGATATCATTCTATTTCACAGGTTCTCATCAGCTGCAGACTACCTGAAATTACAATGGTTATATAGATGATAATAACATACTTTAATGTTCGAGTGGTGGTAGAAAAGAGATACTATAAAATTGACACATCTAAATGAAAGCATTACAATGTTTTTAGTTTAAGTTTTCATCATCAATTTATACGCTTTTAAAGTTGAAAAGAGGGGGAGGGGTAAGACAGAAAAAATTGATTAACAGAACAGTGTTAGTGTGTAGGTTTACATATCAG